CACCAGGCGTGCAAGACTTGGTGGGGCAAATATCGGGTTGTGCCTGGCAAGGTTAGTATTTCTAGCGCCCAGGAGCTGGAGGAGCAGCACGGTTCTGCCATCCGCCACCTGGGCATCGAGTATAATACACCTTTCAAATTATGCGGGGCGCTCCGACAGTTGGATCCACCACTGTATGTGACAGATCAGGTCGCAAAGATGTGGCTACTGCAGTATTCTTCCAAAGAGACGCTTGTCAAAGTGCAGAACGCTGGCCATCTGGAGACCTGGTATGGAGAACGTATTCGCAAAGACATGCCCGAGGGGACTACTGACGGGGCCGTGTTGAAGCAGTGGCTCCTGGGACATTTATCTGTACCTGCTGACGCCAGGGTATGCCAGAAGTGGCCCAGCACGGAGTGGGGCGCCAAGGGAGCATTGAATACTGCCCAAGCTGTGGAGGAATGTATAGGCCAGCGTCTTCGACTCAATCAGTATCGGGAGAGCTTCGCCGATGAGGCCGCCGCGGAGGTCCTCTCGCAGCTTCTCTCGGAGAGCGACCCTCCCGTCGCTGTCAGCGGTATGGTTTTGAGGCAATGGTACGTGAAGTATCACCCTGACTCTGGACCTTTGCAGTATGACACGGCTGAAAAGCTCGACGCGGCACTTGGTGACCACATGCGCGCGGTATATCCAGGGCTGAAGTACCACACCTTGCATACCGTGTTGCGTATGCGACGGAAAGCTGTCTTGGTGTCCCGAGGAGTGTTGAGACAGTGGTGCGATGCGTATGCGTCGGTGAGCTCTTCAGTGCAGGCGACGGCTTCATCCGCCCAGGCCGTCACCAGGCGTGTATTGAAGCGCTCGGCGGCGCAGGTCGCAGGTCGTTTCGTTTCCGTTCGTATGGACTTTGGCACTTTCCCACAGCATTATGTGTGTGCCTTAGCCATTGGGGCTCCAGTCGTATATTGCTTTTCGTATCTCTTTCCATATTTGCACGCGCGCCCGTATTGTTGGCAATGGCAGGGCAGTGGGACGAACAGACTGGGGAGTATATCCCATCCAACGAGGAGGTGGCCGAGGGTATGAGGCGCTGGTCTGTGTCACCCGGCGGGGACGGATTGGTATTCCAATGGCTCAAGGCTCAGGAGAGACAACAGTACCACATAGCTAGGGGGGTGGCCGCTCACTCTTCGAGCTGGTGGTTCCTTCCGGGCATGCCTCCAGAGAGTGCCTGGAACGAGGTGCCACCAGCTCGAGGGGAAGGCGCGGCCACCCCCTTAGCTGGTGGTATTGGTACTTTTTTCTCTCCTGAAAGGTGCTGCGCGAGACCACGTGGTTCGCGACCGCAGTGTATTTTCCGTGTATGTGGCAGGGACTCACGGGTGTATGCCTGTGTGTGTCGACCGCGGAGAGCACGCGCCGTTCAAAGGAGAACGGTATGGTCGAGAACCAGCGGCGTATGGGAGGCATCGAGACCCCAGAGTGGATGGCGTTCGCTGTATACTTCTACCCTGGCTTGGTATTCGGCAACTTTGATGGTTTCAAAGATCCAGCCGCGCAGTATCTGGGCACACTTGCGGAAGTATTCAATCGGCTGTGCACCCAAGCTGGTATAGCGAACTGGAGTTCGCACGTATTCGTCCGACCCGGCGGCTGGGTGTATGCTGGCTTGCGCAGGCTGTTGCAGCTCCTGCGTATTCACGTGCATTCCGAGGTGGTATCAGGTCTGTCATACAGGCGCACGGCGAGCCTGGATGTATTTGTGGCAACACACACGGCATCCATGGGCATGGAGCCGCCATGTATGGCTCTGTGGAATGCCTCCCACGACGTCAAGGATGGTATCACCTTGTTCCCGAAGCAAGATCATTGGTGGCACATGCCTGTATGGCGTTCTTTCGGGCAGTCCGAGTATGGGAATGTCATGGATTACCGTGTGGATCTGGGTATGCCGGCGCATGTCCAGGGCGTCCTGGCGGTATTGGCGCCCCACGGACGCACGGGCGATGTGTCCGCGAGGAGGCGTATCGGCACCATGCTGGGACACTTGGCCCCTGATGTATGGGTGCCAGGAGCGAAGCTTGCAGTATTGCGCCCGATGCGTGCCATTAGGGACAGGCGCATGCCAGAAGACGATGAGCACACAGACTCGTCTCTTTAGTATGCTTCCAGAGCACGTATGCGTCCGCCTCGCCTTGTCCTGCTGCTCCTCCTCCTCCTCCTCCTCCGGCGGGGCACCCATGGGGACAACCATCGGGACCACCATCGGAACAACCATCGCGGCAACCATGGGGACAACCATCGGGACAACGATCGGGACAACCACAACCATCAGGACAACCATCGGGACAACCATCGGGACATCCATCGGGACAACGATCGGGGCCACCATCGGGGCAACCATCGGGAGAACCATCGGAACAACAATCGGGACAATCATCGGGACACTCATCGCGACAATTATCGGGACAACCACAACCATCAGGACCTCCAACCAGAGAGAGGTAGTCACGTGTATTTCGTCGACGAGTGAGCCAGTATTGCACATTGAGGCCGGAACGAGAACCACAGAACAAGAATGAGCATATATCGTCTCACAACAACGGAAACAAGTCCTGTGGTATGCTGGCGCCACGCACGTGATACCAGTCAAAATAAGGGTCTTGGCTTGTGTGGTACAGAAACGTTAAAACGTCGGAAAACGGTACACGTGCCCATTGTTGGAACAGGGGTATAAGTCGTATACTAAGCTAGTTTCCACAAGATGTTACCACAAGAAGTCATTGTAACCATGCGCCAGTGTAGTAGCCAAGGTCGTCCGCAGGCCACGAAGTGAAGTGTCCGAACGTCATAGGGCGGGAAGCTGGGTGTGGGTGGTGGCGAAGAGTCGTTTGGAAACTTGGTAGAGCTTGAACCGGCCCCCCCACAAAGTGGGGGTATTGCCCGCCTCCTATGAAAACCCTGGCACTGGTGAGAACGGAGTGTCCCCAGTCTTAAATGATTGTTGTTGTTGTTGTTGTTGTTGTTGTTGTTGGTTGCTGTTGCTGTTGCTGATGTTGTTGTCCTCGTCGCCATCGTCGTCGTCGTCGTCCCACTCGCGACCCGGCCCGCGACCTACTGGCGACTCGCCTGCGGCCCACCCGCGACCCAGCCGCCACCCACCCGCGACCCACCCGTGACCCGCCCGCGACCCACCCACGACCCACCCCGCGCCCGCTCCCTCACTCTGATCCGCAATTGCGGGGTGCTGCAAATTCTAACTCGCGCAACTGGCAACTGTCCACTGATGCTCCTCGTCCACCCGTTCCCAATACGTCTTCTCTTCTGCCGCTTCTGATGCTCTTCGTCCACCTGTTCCCAATACGTTTTCTCTTCTGCAGCCTCTTCCACGTCTTCTGCCTCGTCCCCATAATCTACCCGCTCGTGCCACTCCTTCTCCCTCCTCGTCCTCCCTTCTCGCTCTCCGGTCATCCTTCTCCCCCTCATCGTTTTGATCCTCCTCTGAGCATCTACAACACCCTTTTCCCAACCATCCTATGGTGTTGGGTCCTCGTTTTGAAGAGACGGTCCCCGTGTTCCTCTCTTTCCTTCCTCCTCCCCTTCCACTCCCTCCTCCCGTCACCCCCTTCACTTTGGCACACCCCTCACTCGTTTCGTGGCCCCACAGGCAGCTCCACCGAAGGCCCCAGCGGCACCGCCCGCATGCGTCACCCCCCACCCGCCAGTACAGCGCTTCGTCGCCTCATAGGGAGCCCCACCGAAGTCCCCAGTGGCACCGCCCGCATGCGTCACCCCCCACCCGCCAGTACAGTGTTTCGTGGCCCCATAGGGAGCTCCACCGAAGGTTCCAGTGGCCCCGCCCGCATCCGTCACCCCCACTCAAGACAGCGTGTCGTCGCCTCATAGGGAGCTCCGCCCACCCAGTACAGCGATTCGTGGCCACATAGGGAGCTCCACCGAAGGCCCCAGCGGCACCGCCCGCATGCGCCACACCCACCTAGTACAGTGTCTCGTGGCTCCATGGGGAGCTCCACCGAAGGCCGCAGTGGCACCGCCCGCATGCGTCACCCAGCCTAGTACAGCGTTTCGTGGCCCCATAGGGAGCTCCACCGAAGGCCCCAGTGGATGCACTCGCATGCGGTTCCCCCACCCCGTACAACGTTTCGTGGCCCCCTAGAGAACTCCACCGAAGGCCCCAATGGCACCGCCCACGTGCGCCACTCCACCCAGTACGGCGTTTCGTGGCCGGGAGCTCCACCCACCCAGTACAACGTTTCGTGGCTCCAGGGGGAGCTCCACCGAAGGCTCCAGCGGCACCACCCGCATGCGTCACCCCCTACCCGCCAGTACAGCGCTTCGTGAACCCACATGGAGCTCCACCAAAGGACCCAGTGGCACCGCCCGCATGCGTCACACTCCACCCAGTACAACGTTTCGTGGCCCATAGGGAGCTCCCATAGGGAGCCGTTCCACCCAGCACAGCGCTTCGTTGCCTCATGGGGAGCTGCACCGAAGGCCCCGGTGGCTGTACTCGCAGGCATTTCCCGCACCCATTACACTGTTTCGTTGCCCCATAGGGAGCTCCACCGAAGACCCAGTGGCGGCCCCGCCCCACTGCGACGCACCCCTCACACTTTTCGCGGCCGCGTAGTGCGTTCCACCTAAAAACACCAGTGGCAGCGCCCACATGGCCGGCCCCGCCCCGCACCCCTCGCATGTTGCATGGCCCCATGAGGAGATCCCCCGAAGGCGATACCCGCAATGACGGCACTCACAACTGCATATGGTTGGGTTCTTCGCCAGGATCATGCTGTTTCTTGTCATTTCCAATTGTAAGCGCCCCCTTACGCAGAGGAGCCATGCCCGAGAAAATATCAATCATGCGACGCGCCCACTACGCGGTCCTGTAAGGCGGGGGATTGGCCTCACCATCCCAATGCTGGGGCTCGTTAAATCGTCGTCCTCCTCCTCCTCCTCCTCCTCCTCCTCTGGCTCCACTTCATGAACCTCATCATGGTCGTCCTCCTCTGCCGTGCCCTATCCCACGTCGGTCTCAAGAGCTGAAGAGTGATATCGTGCTGCTTCCGACGTGAACGGTATTGCCCTTCCAACTGACAAGCCCACCGTCAGCAAGTCATCGCCGAAGCCTCGAAACTTCTAACAGTGGGCGTGCTGGAGACCCCCGCCGAGGTGCCGATAGTGTCGCCGATCGCCCGCGTCATAGCCAGGCCCGGATACATCTTCCTGGAAGGGCATGCTGGGTATAGGGGGGAGGGTCGATGGGGAGTGAAGGATGGAGGGCGAGCGAGAGAGCGAGAGAGAGAGAGAGAGAGAGAGAGAACGAGTAATACACATACATGCGTATGCACATACATACTGTACACTGCACATACGTTCACACAGTTATGTACATATATGTGTATGTATGTATGTATGTATGTATGTATGTATGTATGTGTGTGTATGTATGTATGTATGTATGTATGTATATATATATATATATATATATAAATGCACTGTGTATTTGTATGATCGTATACAAACATATGCACATGTATTTATGCATACATAAAGAGAAAGCACCAAACATAAGGGTACACACACATATATATATATATATATATAGAGAGAGAGAGAGAGAGAGAGAGAGAGAGAGAGAGAAAGCGGACAAGTAGGCGGACCAGGGTCCGTCCGCGAGGCGCACTGCGGTGCGACAACTCGCAAAACACTATTTGCGGCGGTGCGGCCTAGATACGAGGGCGGGCAACAAAAACCCCCTCCCCCGGCGCAGTGCGACAGACGCTACAGACGGCGGACAGACGGTGATGATCTCACCTGTCAGACCGCGTAAAGAAAGAGGCCCCAACAAGAAAGGCGACGTGCTGACACGTGGCTAGGCGGCTTGGCAGACCGCCAGTTGGGCGCTTGGCCGCAAAGCGGCGCGCAGTGACGGGGCACCCCCCGCCCCCACGCCCTGACACCGTGGACGCGGAGCCACGCGTACACACGGGCAGGCAGAAAGGAGGAGATTAGCGCGGGGCACCAGGTGGAGCGCCGCGGAACGATGACAGCATAGCTTGGATGGTGAGTGACGGCACGGCACCATCGGGCGAGGGCGTGAGCAGCTCGGCGAAGGCTCGCCCGGCGCTGTGGAGGCGCTGGAGTAGAGGGCCTTGGCGAGCTTGGGCGGCGGCGAGGTCCGCGGCGAGAGCAACGCACCTCTGCTGGAGAGCAGCCATAGCCTGGGACAGCTCGGTTTCGCGGTCGGGGGTGGGGCAGATCGGTCTCGTCAGCCACTTTACACCTGCGGCCCGTGGAAGGATGCGATGGACGGGGGTGGCGACAGTAGGTGGCTGGCTTGGAAACCCAGTAGGGGCACCCGACCTCCTCCCCCCCCCCGGTGCCACGAGGGGGAGGCCACAGCGGGCGGCTGTCCTGGTCGGCGGGCCAAGGGGCCGCCCGACATCCACGCCTGCAGCCCTCGCGGCCGGCCTGGCGGAGAAGCCCCGCCGCGCATGCAGGGATCATCGTCGATCTTGGTCAGCGTCCATCTTGGCCACCATCAATTCGTGGATCATCCTCGCGAATCGGCGACGGCCAGCATGGCAGTGACCATGAACGACGTCGACAAGATCCCGCGACGCAGCGGCCGCTCTGGCTGGGCCAAGCATTCGAACATGGACCCATCGGCCTTGGGCCGCCTTCGGCGGTCTTCTGACGGTCTTCGGCGAAAACGTTGTAGAGCTGCGTTCAACAAGGGGTGCATGATCGAACGTCTAACGCTGGGAGTGAGCGAATGTGCAACAACGTCGCTGCAAGAACAACAAAAGACACAACACATAGTTTGTCGGAGTTCCGCGCGGGTGTTTTGGATCGGCGCTGGGCCCCCCTCCTTGGCGCGCGGAGCGCGCTGGGGAGATCCAGCATGGATCCGCGAAGTCCCCGCGCACCTCTGAAAGTTGGTCCATCGGTCGGAATAAGCGGGTAGAAACATGGAGCAATTAGGCGGGAGTTGGCAGTATATTGAGTTGTCGTCCGCCCCCTGAACAGGAGGGAATGGAAAACGCTGCTCGACTCTTGAAGTAGGAAGGCACCCACAGTATACTGGGATCGAACATCAAAACACATACTTTCAAGGACGGATGGGTATGCTGCCACCACTTTTTCACAAGCCGCCGACGCCGTCCGGGCGAGGCGGGACTAATTACCGTCGATCGGAGCGCCTCTGCCGCCCCCTCCCCCCCCCCCGAAACGCACACCCGCTGCCCTCGGTGCTCCCCCCTTCCCTTGGAGACCTCCTCCTCAACGCGCCGCCGAGTTCGGCTCTCGCGGCAAAACTCGGTTCTCTGGCGGCCGTTCGGGACGATCTGGGCAACCCCGGAACGACCTCGGCCAGGCGCAGCTGCTGGAAAGCTCCCCGAGTCTGGAAAACTTCTGGGAAGCGACGAAAGCCTCAGCCGCCGAATCTGATTCTCCCCCCCTCTCCTGTTCCTCCCTTTCCTCACTCCCGTCCTCCCTCCCCTCCCCCAGCCACCCTCCCTCCCCATGATCTCGTCCCTGCTCCTCCTCCATTCCATTCCATTACATTCCATTTCATTGCATTGCATTGCATTCCATTCCTCCCCTCTCTTATCCAATCACGTCTCCGTCTCCCCCTCTCCCGGTCCTCCCCAAGCATGCGATGTCTCGATTTTTTCGACACGCGGTCTCTGGATGTCCCAACCCTTTCCCCGGCACTGTTCTTTAGTCCCGAGCCGCTTTTGACGGTCCCGGGGCCCGGTAAGAGCTCGGCTGAAACAGACGAGCAGAAACCCGCCCTGGTTTTGGTCAAGACGTTGCATGTCGCAATGCCAAATAATGCCAAACACTGCGCCCATGCAGTAGGAAGCTTTCCCCTCATTGGGGTCGCGCCCGGGTCATTGTCAAGACGTTGCATGTCTCGGCTCCTTGCCCTCCCTCTCCCCCGATGCCCCCCTGGCGGAAAAAATCAGCCAACAGCAATGCCTGGACCCCTCCTGGGGCCGAAGCCGACCAATTTTTCGAGCCGCGTCCAGCCGTGGCGACGGTGGAGGCCTTTATCCCTCCCTGGTGCTGGCCGGAACCAGTGCAGGGCCACGTCAGCCCCCCTGCCAGCTCCAACCTCTTCCTCCCTCCCCCCCTCTTCCCTCCCCACTCCCTTCCTCACTCCCTTCCCAATTCCCTCTCCCCCCTCCCTGCCACACTTGCCCCTGTCGTGCTCACGCCTGCACGCGCACGTGTACCTTCCTGGCTGGCTTGGCCCCGTAGCCGAACACCTCTCGCTGTCCCGGAACACTCTGCCGGCCTCGCTGCAGCGCCACCAGCTGCTGGCGGGCTCTCTGCTTCATCAGCGTCGCAATCCAACACAGATTCCCCCCTCCCCGACGCCCCCCCCTGGGCGAAAAAGATCGCGCGGCCCCTTTTGGCGGCGAGCCCTGGGGGGGGAGAGAGGGCAGGCCGCAAGCCTCCCGAGAGGGCGGCAGGGCTCCTCGGAAGCCGAGCCTTCCGAGAAGCCGCCGCTGCCCTCGGAGCCAGCCCAGATGACACCTCGGACGGCCGGGGGCCCTCCGAGCCTTCTGCGAAGGCCCGCCCCCCTCTCTGGACCCCCCCCCCTCGGACTCGCCGCCGACCCCCCCCCCCGGACTCCCGAGCCCGCCTCTCGACCTCCCGGCCTTCCGGGCCTCCCGAGCCCTCCTCGGACTGCCCCGCTGGGCTCGCCGCCGACCCTCCCCCCTCGATCCCCGACGCCGCCCCCTCCCCGACGCCGCCCCCGGGCGGGGCGCGGCTCCCCCGGAGGAAGACGCGGTGGGGCACCTCGCCGTCGAGCCGCCGCACCTCGCCCCCGGAGGCCTCGCCGCGGGCAGCAGCGCACGGGTGGCAGCGGGCGCGGGAGGGGAGGCAGGGACGGGCGCTGCGCAGTCCGCTCCCGTGCCTCTGGGAACGGAGTGGGCGCGTCCCCGAAACGGCCCCCCGAAAGAGGCCTCCAGACTGCCTCCTGGTGGCCCCCGAGAGGCCTCCCGCGAGATCCCAACGGACACCCACGAGGCTGCATATGGTGCCGACAGTCCAGGCACGGTGGCGGGATGGGCCCCAGGGCATGGGTAAGGGGTGGGGCGACAGAGGGGCGGGGGGGGAGGAGGAGGAGGAGGAGGAGGAGGAGGAGGAGGAGGAGGAGAGAGGAGGAGGAGGAGGAGGAGGAGGAGAGAGGAGGAGGGGAGGAGGAGGAGGAGGAGGAGGAGGAGGGGAGGAGGGGGAGGGGGGGAGAAACCTGCACCCCGGCGTGCCCCTTCTGGGCCCCAGGGGGTCCCTTCCAGGGCTCCATGCAGGCACAGAAGGGGCACTTGTCTTCCCAACCCCATGTATCCCCGCCCTTGCTGCGCAACGCCCGAAAGGAACCTCCTCCCGAAGGAAGAAGCCTCTTTCTCAGTTTGGAGGACGAGCGCTGGCGTAAACATAAGCTTTCGGAGCTCCGCGTGCCTCTCTTGGATCGGCGCTGGACCCCCCTCACTGGCGCGCGGAAGGTGCGGCGCCGGAGGCGCCGCCAAGGGGGCCCAACGCCGATCCAAGAAATTCGAGCGGAGCTCCGGAAAACCATGCTTGTGCCGTTTTCTGCTCTTCGACAGATCTCTGGCGATTCACACGTTTTCCCTCGGCCCTCCTGCGTGAGGCTCTCGTTTTGAGCAGAGCACTGGGGTGGCCCCCTTTCTCCTTCCCCGCTTCCTCTCTTCCCTCCACCTCCTTTGCCCGCCTTGGGGTGGCCCCTCTTCTCTTTCCTGGGGTGGCCCCTCTTCGCCTCCCTCCTGCTTCCTCTCCTGCCAACCCGCCTCCCGCCTCGCCGGCCTGCGTGGGATCGGGCGTGGATTGCTCAGGCTGGGCGGAACCCCAGCTCGAGCGACGGAGAACAAATGCGCTGCCATTTTTGTTTGGGAGCTTCACAGGCCCGGCTCAGTCCACATGTGAAGCGACCTCCAGGGCCGCGATTGGCTCCTACGCAAGGCTCAGCCCAACACTGGCTTTGCAAGATTCTGCAGGATCCGGCGATCTGCCTGAGCCCCGTTTGCGCTGAAGCCTATTACGTGACGCCTATTACGTGCGCTCGGAAGGGAACCTGTTGTTCCGGCGATTCATATGTCTCTTTCTTACTCCAACAATGTTTCCTCGATTTCAGCCTCTGGGTCCCGCTTTCGAGGCCTGGAGCCATCAGACACGGATCCGAAGCGAAAAGCCATCCCTGCGGAAGGAGTCTGGACCTCTGGGGCGCGCCGCGGGGAAGTTTGGGAGTTTCGGGTACGAAGTTCGAGGTTTTCGGGCGTTTCGGTGGTGCTCGGCGGTTTTCCAGCCTCCCGGTGCTCTCCAGCAGCTGCACCTCGCCGAGCGCGTTCCAGGGCTGCCCAGCTCGTCAGTAACGGCCGCCAGAGACGCAAGTTATAACCTGAATACCACACTCGGCGGCGCGCCGAGGGGGGAGGTGAGAGGGGGCAGGCCTTCTCAGACGTCAGCGGGGCTTCTCCGAAGCTCTCTCGCCTTCTGAGAAGCCTCTGCGGCTGAACCTCGCCACCAGAGGCCCACCAGGCAGGCATCAGCGCAAGAGGGATGGGAATGACAGCGGGGAAGGAGGCGCGCCGAGGGGGGAGGTGAGAGGGGGGCCGGCCTTCTCAGAAGGGGGGGCTTCTCCGAAGCCCTCTCGCATTCTGAACCCGAACCTCGCAACCAGAGGCCTCCCAGGTATCAGCGCAAGAAGGGTGGGAGTGAGAGTGGGGAAAGGGGCAGGATCAATCAACATCGAATCAGGAACTCGGATCGAATCGAAATGTGCGTCGGATCGACCTGCATCGGAAATCGAGCCGGATCGGCTGCTAAAAAAAAATCCTCGGCGCCGGAATCGGTTCACCGGAATATCGGACCCGAAGCGGATCGAGCTGGCCGAAACCGATGATGAATGGGATCGACGGGATCGAAATGGACCTTGGCAGCGGGGGACGGCACGTGAGAAAGTCGGACATGCGGGTTGGGGAGATGGGGGACAGAAGTCAAATGAGGAGGCGGAGAGGGGATGTGGGGATGCGGGGGGGTGCGTGGGGGAGAGGGGAGGGCATTGGGGGGAAGGGGCATGGGGGGGGAGAGACGAGGCTGACGCCATTAATAAGCCATGGAATGCAGCTCGAATCGACCTCAGAAAAATTCGAGTCGTAATCGTTGGAAAGTCCGTGAGATCGGCCTGGCAATGAGCCCAGCCCTATGCAGCTGAATGTTGCGCGGGACGTGACCCTCTCCTCATACCCAGAGGGATCCAGTTCGAGAAAACGCAGGAACTAGCGACATTGGCACCGCCCCGCATGGGTCCCTATGGGTCGCGATCCGCGTGAGGGGGTGTGCCGAAGTGGTGGACGTTCCGCACGTGGTCGCGCCCACTGAGACTATCGGTGGAGCGCCCCCCCCCCGAGGTCACGATCTGCGAGAGGGGTGTGCGGAAATGGGCGCGGGCCAGGCCGCACACGGGGCTCCATGTGGGGGGCCAAAATCCGCGTGAGCGGTGTGCCGAGATGGGCGCGAGCCCGCAAGCGGTCGGGCCCACTGAGATGCTGCGTGGAATTCCTTGTGGAACAGCGGTCCGTGCGAACGGAGTACCAGAATCGGCGCAAACCCGCATGGTGTTGAGTTCGCTGACGCCTTTTTCCTTTCCAGCTCGAGGGGTCCAGATTCAAGCGAAGCGCAAGCTGCATCTGCTGATAACTTCCAGCACCGCACGCCCTCTTAACTCTGCCTGCGCAAATGGAACTCAAAATGGGGCGACGATGCACCATCCGCGTGAATATGCCGAACTGTGCGCTGGTCCGCATGCGGTCGTGCCCACTGAGACCGCTGTTGCAACTCCCTGTGGGACCGCAGTCGGCGTGAAGGATGTGCTTCGAATGTCCAATGTTTCAATGCCTTCCCTGCGCTGACGTTGGCCGTCTCCCTCTGGTCCCGCTGAGCGGGGCGCATTTCTGGGCGTCCGAACTCTCGATCTGCAAACATGCGGTTACGTCGCTCGCAAACCGATGCTCGCAAATCGATGGCCCCTCTGGCGAGTCGGCGGCGGCCATGGCTATCAAGATTCCGCAACAAAAAGGGGGGCGGTAACGGCCCGAACAAGATGACGAGCTCGGCGGCGCCATCGTGAAGCCACTGGGCTCTGCGGAGGTATCGTGCTCCGCAGAGCCTCTGGCTCCTCTGTCGACTTTGCGTGGCTGCCCACAGGCGGAATAGAAGGTTTCTGGAATGCAATGCTCCCGCCCCTCCCCCACCTGCGCTCGCATCGCGTGCTCCCTCGCTCCAACCCCTACTTCTGTCACAGCAAGCCGCGGGACATCACCGCTGCGATTCGCAACAATGCAATCGCTGTGGGCCGATGCCCCGCACCCTTCGAATGTCAAGAGTTTCGCGTCGCCGATCCCCTGGTGCAAGTGAAAGCACTGTGATCTCGCCTTCGCGGTGGGCACCCCGCAATTGGCGCACTCGGTATCAACAACATCCGCCGGCTTTGAGCTGTACGTGTGCGTGCAGCTGTATACTCATTGACAGACATAGTCATGCAGATAAGCTTGTCCATGCATGATTATGTGTGTGCATGTATGTATGTATGTATGTATGTATGTATGCATGCATGCATGAATGCATGCATGTATGTGTGTCTGTATGTGCGTATGTATGTATGTATGTATGTATGTATGTATGTATGTATGTATGTATTTATGTATGTATGCATGTAGGTATGTAGGTCTGTATGTATGTATGCATGCATGTATGTATGTATGTATGTGTGTATGTATGTATGCATGTATGTATGTATTTATGTATGTATGTATTTATGTATGTATGTATGTATATGTGTATATATGTATCTGTGTATGCATGTATGTATGTATGCATGTGTGTATGTGTGTATGATGTGTTTGTATGTATGTATGTATGTATGTATACATGCATGCATGTACGTATGTATGTTTGTATACATGTGTATGTGTTTGTATTTATTTATGTATGCATGTATGTCTGCATGCATGCACGCATGTATGTATGCATGTATGTATATACGAATGTTTGTATGCATATATATATATATGTATATGTATACGTATGTGTATATGTATATGTATATGTATGTATGTGTGTATGTATGTATGTATGTATGGATGTATGTATGCATGTATGTATGTAGGTATGCATGTTTGTATGTATGTATGTGTGTATGTATGTATGTATGTATGTAGGTATGTATATATGTATGTATGCATGTAGGTATGTAGGTATGTATGTATGTATGCATGCATGCATGCATGTATGTATGTGTGTATGTATGTATGCATGTATGTATGTATGTATGTATGTATGTATGTATGTATATGTGTATACATGTATCTATGTATGCATGTATGTATGTATGTATGTATGCATGTTTGTATATATGTATGATGTGTGTTTGTATGTATGTATGTATGTATGCATGTATGCATGTACGTATGTATGTATGTATACATGTGTATGTGTATGCATTTATTTATGTATGCATGTATGTATGCATGCATGCACGCATGTATGTATGTATGTATGTATGTATATACGAATGTTTGTATACACACACATATATATATATATATATATATATATATATATAAATATACATATATGTATATGTATACGTATGTGTATATGTATATGTGTATGTATATATGTGTGTATGTTTGTATGTATATATGTATGTATGGATGTATGTATACATGTATGTATGTATGCATGTTTGTATGTATGTATGTGTGTATGCATGTATGTATGCATACATGTATGCATGTATGTATGTATGTATGCAT